CAGACAAAACTTTACAACTCCCGGTACGTGATCGAAGACAAGTGATCAGTGACAAGAGGCTAGCTAACTAGTTATGCAAGTAATTAATTAGTTAAACTACCAAAACCGTGATGCTGCGATGCTGTTGTGACTTTGACGGTGAGAACGAGGCAGCATGTGAAAGTAGTTGACTCGGTCTGCCGGCTGGAGGCACGACGACGGTCACTCGTTGGCGAAATTCAGACCGAGCGTTTCAGGTAGCAGGTTCGGCCTTTGACGGCACACTCGGCTGACGAACACCAGACGCAGACGGTCGGACTGCAGTAATCGGGCTGGGTGTGAGCCGTAGTCGTTCAGGGGGACCGGTTTGGCTCGCCGCCGGAAGTACTCGAGCCAGTAGGGCAGAATAACGCCGTTCTCATCGTCGAACTTCATGATCTGCACCGGAAAGAAAGCGGACGCGGTCGCTGCTTGGTACGCCTTGCGCACCAGTTGGCAGCAGTAGTACGCCTTTTGACCATTTGAGTTGATGCAGTCGTCCGAGAACAGATCGTTGTAGCCACAACCGATCTGCTGAACGCAGAAATCCGCAGCCGCGTCCTTCGTCCGGTCGTCTGCCAGCACCTTGACCGCAATGACGTCATAGCACTCAGCGTCACACTCGTCCAGTAGTCGTTTGCAGTAGTGCTCGACCGACTCCTGGATGACTCCGTACATACAGGTTGCGTGAATGAGGAAGTTCGAGTTGAGCAGCATCGACACGTGAAACACTTTTAGGTTGTTGCCTGCGCTGGCCAACACGGCGCTGGTGAAATCTACAGCGGCGTCCGGTTGCTCGACCACTGGGCAGTCTTGGCGAGGTATTCCCCAAAACAGCAGATCCCCTCGGCGCAGCATCGCAGCGGAGAGGAGAGCAGTTCTGATGGTGCGTCGATCGGTCGGTTCCCAACACTGGTCAAAATCTTAGTTAGTTAACGGAGATGAAGCCGCCAGACTGGAGACATCTCATCGATTCACTGATGCCCCAACGACGCGACCTGTCTTATAGCCAATGAATCTGTCTGTATCCGTTTAGCAGCATCTCGCAACGCCGGTAAAACTTTTGCCAAAAAACAGTCTCGTAGCAAAGTTCACCGAACGGACAACACGTCCGATGCAGTGTTTGCTCACATGCAGCAGTTTTCATCAGTCGGTCGTTATCACTGTTGTAAACGTAGGGAAGAACGACAGGGTAAATCGACTGATGACAATTTATGGTTTGACGATGATTAACCGATGACAATCATCAAATGTGTACCTGTGATAATTTTCGACCTCGGCTAAGCGTCGTTGCCCAGAGAAACTGCCTCAATTTAACTGGACTCGATTCGGTCCCAGATGCCAGAAGTGTCGAGCGCGAGATATCTTCCGCGTGCATGACGACGACGACAAAAGCCGCCACACCGTCAGCTAGCATTGCTCAGATATCGATGCTAATAAGTCATCAGTTGCTGCATTTGCCACCGGACGGACGACTGGTTCTGACGATCAGCTGCTTAATTATACACCGATCCTCGTTATGGAACGTCATTAACTACAGACAATGTTCGACTACTGTCGATACATCAAAGCATATAACGTAATAAATCAGACATGGGTACTTCTATGGAACCTAGGCTAAAAGCACGAGTTCTTCAAGATTACAATGCCAAGCTCAATCTGACAAATCACTGGCAAAACACTCGAAGAGTACTTAGCCTAAGGACAGTAACCAACCACAATGTACAGACCAGCTCTGATAAATGTACAAGCGGACACTCGTTGTTTGAACATGAACATCAAAGAATTGTTTTTCAACACACTGTAAAAAAATGAGAATAATGTACAAATTAATTAAAGAAATTAAAGAGAAAAACGAAAGTTCGCCGACATATTGTCTGTAATGGGACTGCGACAATGAAAAATAGGAATGGCATTGACACAATATGTCATAGAACGAACAGACAATCGCTGAATGAATGAGATATCAGAAGGGGTTCATTAAAGAAGCAACCGTATCGATCGCAAGATTGCATCAAGAAGTTTGTTAGAGCACATTGGAAAAGAATTGTTAACAGACAACAGTTTAACTGCAAATTCTTCAGAGAAGCATTCATATAGCAATGAGTCAAAATAGCTTATGTGACTATATGCATCTCTGATGCACGTATAAGATTATAAAGTCTGCTGAACATCTGCGGTGATTCAGAAGTTCAGAATTCCTACGGGATCACTAATCAATAGAGTGATCAAAGCTTGTCTTGAATGGATAATCCTGAAGCGTTAACGATGCAAAAATGCCTTTGTTCGTTACAACCATTAATCTGTCTAAGGTTGGTGGACGTAATTTTCGTAGTATGTGAAGGTAACATTTCCTTGACGTGCCCATACATAAAAAATATTTTTTACAGCCTTTGATAAATCCAAAAGGATCAGATATACCATGGAAGAGAAAACGAAGGCCAGATTAGGTTCCTGAATGTGCTGGTGAAGATGAATCGAGTTAAATATGAAAAGTCGCTTGCCTTTGCAGTTTATCGAAAACCTCAAAGTTCTAACAGGTGCTTAAACCCAGGACCATGTGCCTCTAAATTAATTTTTAACGATATTGCAAGGAATATGAAACTTAAGTGTCTTCGGATCTGCACAAGTGATTCTGCTTAGCAAGCATGCAAAAGATTTAACAGTACAAAAATTTTTTGTTTATAAAGCAGTTAAAAATCTACCAACGGACACTTCTTGAAATGTCAAAAATTTGCGCAACAATAAGAAAATTCGTCATGTGGTCATTCCGTTTATTATTAAACTCTCCATTAAAATCACATAGCACTTGGAGAATGAGGGTTTTCGAATTTACTACACCACAGTGGGCGGTTCACTGGCATTTCTGAAATATCTGAAACTTCATCAATCAGTGAGAACGTAGGGGAGATAAACGTCGCTTATGAAATAAGTTGTAATGACTGTGACAAAACCTAAATCAGAAAAACAATATTATGATTGGATTACAGGGTTGCAAAATATCTAGCAGTTTTCAGGAATGGATGAATGGAACATTCTGGTATCGTCTTTTGAACTTCCTTTAATCTGACGAATTCTATTTCTGTTGACAAGCAGTGAACAATCAACGGACTATTAATCAAAGAATGGTTGCATGTATTAGCTAACAAAAA